ATTGTCCACTAATTGTGATGGCAAGTTATTGATTAGCCGAGGTATTAAGTAGCTACATGTTCTCTTACCGTACGCATTGCTAGCACGCGGCTCGTTGAGACGGTTTTTAGAAATTGCTCGAATATTTACAGAATGCTCAGTCGGGATTTTTAGCGATTCATTAAAAAATTGTTCTTTTAATAAAATATTTTGTACTTGTATATGTATTGGTAAAATTTTACAACGCTTAAAGAGACCATTAACGTCATCCTTGAATTTATTTGGAACTATAGTATTGAGTATTCTTACTTGTAAAACTATGGATCTGGTCAAGATATTATGTTTTGTAAGTTCGGCCGTAGCTACTTAGCCCGTATTGAATGTAGGACTCCGCAAGTGCATTATATAACATTAACTTTATTTTAAAAGAATGCGATGCGAATTCGATTATTGAGAAAAGTGATATTTGCTAAAAACTGTTTTAGTTTAGTACATACACGGTCAATATGCTGGCTCCAATTTAATTTACTGTCAATAATTAGTCCGAGCTACGTTTGTGTGTCAATTACCTCAATTTCTGGGTAGCAGCATTCAGCAGCGCGGTTATTATGTAGGCAGATGTGGTTATGTGCAATTTTTTTAATTGAAGCGGGTTTTAGGTATGGAGATTTAATTACTAACAACTTAGTTTTACTAGCATTAAGGACAAGCCCAGCATCATGGCACCATCATCATCTGTTCGCTCAGATACAGTCGCCTTTATTTCGCGCTGCTGTGGCACGCGCCGCATCTTGTCAAAGGTGCCGCTGCGATATTAATGATCACCGCGTGCGGCGCGGCGTACACCCGCAGGAGAATTTGGCATTTTAAAACGTAGCGCCGTAGTGAAAGGTTCTTTGCTACCTAACTTGTTTTTATTATTTATATTCGTATTTTATTACAATAACTATGAGAATAAAATAGTATTATATTTTATTCTTAGAACAGAAAAACATTTATTTAACAAATATAATAAAAATAATAGATTAAAATAAAAATAATAAGTGGTCCACCGGATATACTGACACTATCTTAGTAGTCTAGTCTTTCTAGAAAACAGATGTCTTCTTACACTAATTTTTTTTTTGAAAGCTTTGGAGCACCAAGCATTGCGCCGTGTATTTTTTATGAATACCTTTATTGACGAATTTGTTAGGAATGAGGGTAGAAATCAAAAGAAAATATGAAGAAGTGAGAACTTCTACTCGTTCGGACATTATAGTACTGCGACGCTCCGTGCTACAACAGATCCCATCCGCAGAGATGGTGATACTTGATGATTTTAACACCCACCACGCTGAATGGCTTGGTTCTCGTTTAACCGATCATGCGGGTAGATCTGTTTATGACTTTGCTTTGGTATATAATAAAATCCTTTATTTCGACCAACAATAGTCATAGATTGTTAGTAAAACAAACCTTAACTTAATGTTATTTATAAAATAAAATAGAAATTAATATTAAAATGTTAGTAACAATTGTACTTATCCTATATTAGTAACTTAACCTACACCTAGCCTCACATAGCGAAACCCAGGTGGGGTTCTCCTGGTGCTGGTGTGTGCACCATTCCAAGTTCTCCAGAGAGGGCTACCCAGCTTCACAGCCAATGTGCTGAGAAGGGTGTTGGAGCTCCTCAATAACCTGCTCATCATGGACGCAGCACGCTTGCGAATGATCGCATAGAAGTCTTCCACACGAACACCCGCAAACATTGCCGACGCACTGCAGTGTCGAGGCCACCTCAACATCACCCTCAGCACATTGTTGTACTCAACACGCAGAGCACTGTAGGCTCGCTGCGTATAGTTAATCCACAGACTGCACGTGTAAAAAGATTGGCAATACGCCTTGAACAAAGTTAACTTGACTTGTATCGTACTACGTGCAAATCTGCGAGTCAACATATAGCCCCGGACCGACAGCGCTCGGCGCTCTCGTTCAATGTCGCTGTCGTCAACCAGGCGTTCAGTTACAATATGTCCGAGTACCTACACTCAGCCACTTATCTCAGAACCGTGCCACATAGCTGGATACGTGGTTTGAAGTCAAGTGGTTTGTGTTTACCTCTGAAGACAATAAATTCACTCTTTTTTGAGTTGTAGCTGAGTCCAGTCTCCTCGGCATATTCTTCACAAATTCTTAACAGATTACGAAGCCCGCTGACTGAGGGGCTCAACAAAACCATGTCGTCTGCGTAATTTACTGTCTGACACAACTGGTTACCTCGCTTACGCGGATCCCAGATGTAGAAGACCATGTACCTTCCCTGTTGGACCTTCTGCTGACCTCTCATCCGGACGGATATCAGTAATGCCCCTCTTGGCTCCTCGGACCAATTGTCTGATCCGGAATACGGTGCCACTCACGCTCTCATCGTGGTTGCGTACTACAGGTTGCCGCCGTGTTTGGCATTATATGTCAGCAGCAACGATCCTAGCGGTGTTGCTGATCCTGTCGCTGATGTGGTACTTCAGGATATGGAACTTTTTATTCCGTCCTCTGTGGTGCCCATCGGAGGCAGATCCCAGACACGGTTTGGTCGCTCCTGTGAAATAGTATCATGCTATAAGAAGGAGTGCTACCGGGCCGGGGCTGACGCATCAACGTCTCGGGATGTAAGCACCAGCGCTCTAAAAAAAGTATAATTCCGCCTCCAGGTCCTTCAAAAGAGTCATTGCCAAGACGAGGTCTGAGACTTAGCGAGAAGCCTGCATTCTGGTCTCTCACCTAGGCTGTCCAAGTTGGCACCGGTTTTAACGCGTCTTTTCCGGTACTCCTACTCTCAAGACGTAGTCTCGAATTCATGGAAGATAGCTTTGGTCTACCCGATCCCTAAAAAAATCGACTGCTCAGACCCGTCCAACTACAGGCCCATCGCCATTACCTGCTTGTTCTCCAAAATAATGGAATCGATTGTAAACTTCCGGCTCTTGAGATACCTTGAGGATCACCAGCTGATTAGTGACCGGCAATACGATTTTCGTCGTGGTCGATCGGCTAGTGATCTTCTGATCTACCGGACTCATAGATGGGCAGAGGCAGAATCCAAGGGGGAGGTATTGGCCGTTAGTTTGGACATAGAGAAGGCCCTCGATCGGGTCTGGCACAAAGTACTTCTTTCAAAGCTATGGGCTTCCCGAGAAAGTGTGCCATTGGATCACCAGTTTTCTTGCTGATCAGAGCATCAAGGTCGTAGTAGACGGTGCATGCTCTGATTACAAGCCTATAAACGCTGGTATTCCACAAGGCTGCGTGCTATCACCAACGCTGTTGCATCGGCATATCAATGATATTTTGCTAACTGGTAACATTAATAACTATGCAGACGACAGCACTGGTGATACCTTATACACCAGCCGTGCCAATATTTCTCGGGAAAACATAGCAGGGAGAAACCTGTGTCTGCAGTCGAATCTTTGCGTAACAAAGTCTCGAATTGGGGGCCACTAAATCTAGTCCAATTCAATCCCCAGAAGACACCGTTAACCGTTAAAAAGAACCTCTTTTTCGTATCTCCTCAGTTTGAAGGCACTGCCCTTGCTCTCAGCTAGCATCGGAATCCTCGGCGTCGACATATCAAATAGTGTGCAGTTTCGTGGTCACTTGGAGGGGAACGACAAATGTAAATTTATTTTGATTTAATTTAATTAAACATCTTGGCGTGTTCAGTAGAGTGAGACAGTATTTCACGCCGGCACATCGCTTGCAACTTTACAAAGCGCAAGTTCCGTCTCACATGTGCCAGCCTTCCACTCGACAACATCCAGCGCAAAGCGATTCGAATCGTCGACGACCTAGTTCTTTCTGATCGGTTCGATTCACTGGCGCTGCGTAGGGATGTTGCATCTCTTTGCGTTTTTTATCGTATCTACCATGGGGAGTGTTCTAAGGAATTGTTCAGATTAGTTCCAGCCCCTATATTTCACGAACGCACATCGCGTCAAAATTCACGATACCATACTCGCCATCCGGATGCTTGGCGGTCCACCACTGTGCGTTTTACTAGGAGTTTTCTTCCTCGTACAACTTCTCTGTAGAGTTGTTTACCACGACTTTTCCGGACCGATACGACTTAGGGATCTTCAAGAAAAGAGCTTACACCTTTCTAAAAGGCCGGCAACGCACCTCCAATTCCACTGGTGTTGCGGTTGTTCATGGGTGGTGGTAATCACTTACCATCAGGTAAGCCGCATGCTCGTTTTCCCCCTCTACTATATAAAAAAGTCATTCTACGAGACTTAGGCAATATTCTGTAATTCTTCTAGTTCAATCAAATCGTATAGGTCACGTTTCGAAGACGCTGCCCTGTGTTACTGCCTAGATAAGCAGTTGTACTGTTGATTTGCATAATTTATTTATTTTGAAGTTATCGTGTAAAACATCACGTTAAACTCATGTATGACCGGTAGGCATTATGATATGGGCCAATTGTAATTGCGCTGTATACTGAATGTATGGTGCGGTACACTGTTTTATTGCTGACTAGCGATTCGCCCCGGTTTCGTACGAGTAATTTCTGAACCGCGACAACAATGCCAGCTTTCGGGTCCAATTGAGTTTTTACACCATCCAGAAACCCACTCAAATGCACACAACAAATTCATCAAAATCGTTCGAGTCGTTTTCGAGTTTCAGCGTGATTAACGGACAGCAATTGATTTTTTATATATAAGAAGAAGAATAAGAAGATAAGAAGAAGAAGAAGATGATGAAGTGCGTTAGCTTGCTTTCTTAAGTTGAACATCAGTAGTGAAATAATTTCTAAATAATATAACGTGGCTCAGGACCGTGCTTTGTGGCATACCTTGGGGGAGGCCTATGTTCAGCAGTGGACTTGTGAAGGGCTGTAATGATGATGATGATAACGATTGAAAACGCTTTCCAAGTTTTCCATTTTAAAAAAATAGTTCCCTTGAAAAAGCTCAAATAGAAAGAAATATTTTCATTACAAAAATAAAATATATAGTAAAAAACATAGATCAAAAGCTAGTACAACTATCACCATCGTGATTTTCTTCACAATAATTATGATGGCATCTATTCTCCATGCACCTCTGACAGCAATGTTGGCAAACGTCGTGAATTTGACGATAATTGTGGTGACGACATTTTACCATGTGAATACATTTGCTGCACATTTTATCGGATATTATTTGGTGACAACTATCTGGGTTTAATAAAAAGTCGCCACTTGATAGCAGATAGTTGTTTGTTTGGCAAAATTTGCAATTTTGAATTTCCTTTGCCTTTCTAAATCCACTATTGTTATCATCTATAGTACAAGTGTTGTTACTACACTCATTTTCATATGTTTTTGTTTTTACTACTGGAAGTACTCTAGGACCATTCCTTATCATCGGTCTATTGGTGTCGCCTAAACTTTCCACCACAGCATTCTTTTTAACCGTCGCAAACATTCTGTTAACTTCTTCAATTGCGTCTTTCGATTTTGCCTTTTCTTTTAACGAATTTTTAAGTTCTTCCAACTTCATTTGAGGAATAGACGAAGACTTATGTTTAGAAAGATCAATTGAGTATTGCGAATTCTTATTTCTTTGTGGTTGTGAGTAATTAACAATTGTGAAGTTATTGTTTCCGTTAACTATGCTATCTTCTATAGATAAACGGAAAATTTTGCTAACAGTTAACTTTGGTTTTATTTCTTTATTACTTAATAAATATTCAGTTGCAACGCTTGCATCTTTAACGATAACTGTCTTACCATGATTTTCTTTTTCTATTGGCAATTTCTTTTTGCTCTGGAACACTGTGAGTACTTCATTTAATAAATTTAATCCATGCGAGACATCAGTTTGTGACGTTTGTACAGTTTTAGTATTTGAGTTGAGATGATTTGACATTACTCTTGCAGGTTTTTCTTTAACATCGCTTTTGTTTAGTTTTAATTTATTTTCCGAAGATATTTGCACGCCATTTTCTAACCCTCTCTGACAAATTGGGCAAGACTTTGACTTTCTCTTATTGCATTCTGGTTTCTTATTGTCATTGCATTTAGATTTTGCATTTAGGCAAATGGAACAAATAAATTTTGTGTTGTCATCATTCCGAATAAATCTTTTAGCGATTTCCTTTTCGTGATTCATATTTTGAGTAATTATTTTGCCAATGTTTTCGTCACGAATATGCCTTTTATACGTTGTTATCTGTATGTGAACTTTTTTGTAATTGTAATTGTTTGATATCATATGTAATCATATAGGTTCTGAAACAAAAATTGAACTTAATAAGATTATCAAACAAGAACAATTGAACACTTTTGCTGACTTTTCATTTTTAGGACTTTAGCACAGAACAACTAGAAAATTAAAATCATTTCACAAATTACGTCGTACTGTATATAATTGTAATTTTAGCACAGTAAATCAATTAGAAGTGTGACGGTAGCGTTATAGAATTCATCACTTGAAGTCCAGTTAGTGTCATAAGAAGAAACGAAAATACTAAATAGATCTTATGGCTTTTACGGTATCACCTTCTCGTTTACACCAGACCTAAAATAACAAGACCAGAAACAGGGAGGGAGCGACAAAGTAACGAGCGTGACGTCTGGTACTTTCGTCAATTCATCTGGTACGCGTGGTGATTATGGAAAAAAGTAGAGGTCCATTTTCGGCGGTGTACTTTTGCGGGCTGATGTAGAAGTAAATCTAATGAAGACATTTTTGCACTCACAAGCGACTACGATAAAATCATGTCATAGCATATATCAAGTAAAAGTTTTTCACAAATTTATTAAAATAAAAGCTTACGTAAAACACGTCATAGGTACTCACATTAAAAATTAACATTATTATTCTTGTTTTATCTGATTATTATATTAGGATATGACTTATTAGTGCAAATTATAGATTATTTTTATATACTGGGTGCAGATAATATAAAAATATATCACATTTATGATTTATGGTGACTTGAAACTTAAACTGACAGAAGGGGTATAATTTTTTTTAAATATAATAGGAAAAACCAGACATGCAGCTAACATGATGGTAAGTGACTACCGCCACTGATGAACTACCGCAACACCATGGGAATCACAGATGCGTTGCCGGTCTTTTAAATAAGATTAAGCTCTTTTCTTAAAGGTCCTTAAATCGTATCGGTTCGTAAAATCGGTGGTGGTAGTCGATTCCAATAGGAAGGTGTGCGAGGAAGAAAAGGTCTTGTAAATCGCAAAGTGGAGGAGCGCAATCGACCAGATGGTATAGATGGTTACTTTAAAGAGGTAAGGTTCGTTCAAATGTAAACGAATTCCGTGCGCATGTATTAGATCTCAAATAAAACGTTTAGCTGTTGTAAGATTTGCAGAGAATTTTAAAAATTCGAGGTAACCAAGTGTTTGGCCTTAAATGGAAAAGGGTAGATTTCCCATCCAGCAAGCTGTTCAGCCCGGGGAACGACCAACGCCCCATGCACAAGAGTAGCTCTTTACATGGAGAGCCATATAAGTTTCGATAGCTTGAATTAGGCTTCGGTTCGTTGAACGATTTTGGCGCGATCACATCGCTGCTTTAAGAGTTTACGTTCCACACTTAAACACAGTTCTCCTCTCATTTCCGAACGTGTTTTTGCCTAAAAGATGGGAGAGGTTTTAAGAGGTGCTTAGGAATTTTACTACAACCGTGACAATGTTATTTTATTAAAGATAAACATTTCATTTTAACCCCTTATCATCCTGAGGGTCATAACACGGGGAATTAACCAGCCCGGGGGTAGGGGGAATAAACCAGTAGTTGCGTAGCAGTGTCTCTTCCTAAAAAAAACTAGAAAATAAAAAATGCGATTTTCTTTGCGCTTTTCACTATACTTAGAACAAACCTTTATTAAACTATTATACGACCGATATTGTTTAATTCATTTTCATCGACTATAGTAAATAACATTCTGGCAGCAACCTTGAAAGGTTATTAAAAAATTGGTTACGTGACATAATCTATGTCAACACACAATAAAGTAAATCCTATAAAAATACAAAGGAAATAATTTTTTAAATTACCAATAAAAAGAGAAATTAAAAAGTGCTTTAAATGTTGTCAAAGCAGATTTACTAAATAATTAAAAATTTCAAAGGTAAATATAAAAAGTCAAAACACTTAATTCTGTTCAAATTTATAATGTTACGAACTAAAATATATAATTCAAAAGATATCGCCCATAATCGATAAGGTATAAAAAAATATAACGCTGATAAAAATGAGAGTAAACAAAAAAATTATGATAGATAAGAAGAAATGAAAAGAAACAAAGCCGTATATGTAACGAAAGGTGATTTAAGAAAAAAAATAGCTACAAAATATAACTGTTGTTCAAATCAAGCTTATGGAAGTGCAAGAAAGCATATTGCAACTACAAAACTTGATGACACTTTTAGGGACTACAATTTACAAAATGTCAGTAACTGGAGTCACTTAACTTGCTCCTGTAATCATTCTGGGAGAAAATATCAAGAAACTAGCTATTTTACTACCATGCTTAAGCAAATGCCATCGAAGAGTTTTAATGATATAGGCGTCGGAAGTGTTAAAGCGTTTCAAAAGCGAAAAGTAAAAAAAATCTACTTACCAGAGACAAAGGAAAGAGCCGTCGGAACTTTAGATTTGTCTCTGTACAGAAACCGTGAGTAAAACTTTAATTTTTTTTTTAATTATGACCATTAGTGCAGGACAAATCTTTTTTCGAGGGCCCATCATCTCCACCTAGAACAACAGCTGAATCTGACACCAATTCTAACGACACGTGGTAAGGGATACATAACAAATGCGAGTGTCCCAGCCTTTGCGCTTAACTAGCCTACATAGTGAGATCATTTTTAAACTGCATTCTTAAAAACAGTCTCAAGGTGACGATGGTCTAATGGCCTCGTACATAAAACATAGATATTGAAAAGCAGGATAGAAGAACCTACCGTGGTGTTCAAAAATATATATTTGAGTTCTTGGATACGCAGGCTTTACGATATTAGTCTTCATGCAATATTCTTTGTAAATCATCACTTAAAATCGATACAAATCATTTTATCGGTGCCGGTTGTGAATCGAACTAGGACTACACCCGTACTATGAAATTTTAAAGGGAGTGGTTCAGTGTTATTTTTAATAATATGGGAGACAAACGAATATGCATTCCACAGTCCATACCTTCATCTATTCTCTATTAAGAATCAAAATGAGGAAGGACAAACATAGTAAGCCTCGGCAGTAAAAAGGTTCTCCGGTTCTCTACACTCAGCGTACGGAATGTAGCAGCATTGTTCTTATGTTTCAAGCTGGTATCCTGTACGTGTTATATCAAATTTCTGTAAAAGCTAAAATAAAAAACAACATAAGTAATAATAATAATCTTTAGTAATGGCTTCCTTTTCATAAAATTTCTCATACACATATTTTTTGTTTAAGAAAAATCGAAACGATTTTGGAGCAACAATGAGTTCTATCACAAAACATCAGTAAACAGCGAAGAAAGTGTAGATGAAAGCAATAAAAAACTTCTGTTGAATAAAAAGCTATCACCTCTTATTCGAACCAAATCAAATTATACTAATCCTCAAAACCCTCTCACGCAATCTGACGAAGACATAAAAAGTAAAGACAGTAAAAGTGCACTTGATAAATTGATTAACGCTGCAACTCAAGTTGATACTGAAGATATAGGTAAATTGCAGAAAATGGAAACATTTAAGGAAAGAGCTGTAAACACAGAATTGTTTGAAAACAATAAAATAAACAAATCTCAAATTAAACCTGACGCAAATGCTACTGTTGTGAATAATAAAAACGAAAATGAAATCGGTTCCTCATTAGATTCCTTACTAAAACATGTCCATGGTTTAGATAAGTCTTACAGTGGTACTTTAAGTGAAACCTCAGTAGATCCTATGGAAAACATACTTGAAAGAGAATATCGAAAGATATTTTCAGAAAGATCTAGGGATTGTTCTTGCAGTAACAAACTCTGTAAAACCAATAGCGATACTTTATTGCGTCGCTTTGAAGCTTTACGCGATGGTGTGTCTAGCAAGGAAGAATCAAAACGAAATACATCATTGTTGTCAAGATCTTTAAGTGACTTATTTGAACCTAATTATAGAGATATGTCCATAGTTTCCGACCCTCCTTCTTTGCTGTCACAATCTTGTATTAATACAAAAACTACCAGTCCATTTTCGAGTAATATTTATGAAAAAGACATTATGAAGATATCACATAAAAAAACTTTGACCAATACAAAAATTGAAAATAACTCAAATTGCCGTCATTCTGACATAGAAGAAGAAAGAAGTGACTATCAAGGTATAAAAGGAATGTTCAAATTGTGGAGTAAGAAATTCAGTTTAGAGGAAGGTTTGTATAGGAAAAGTAAATCCAAATGTACAGGTTCGAATAAAAAATCCGAAGGAAGTATTAGATCTTATTCAAATAAACTTTTAAATAGCAAATCTTCAGAAAAGAAAGGAGGAAAAAGGTTTCGTTTCTTTAAAAAGAAATCTATACAAAAAGATGTAATGACAGGAAGATGTGAGGTTAGAGAGGGTTTAAATATAAAAATTGGAAAAGCTTCAACACCAGATTATAAATCGAAAGCAATAAGGAAAATAATTGAACAAAATGAAGACGTGTTATTAAAAGCTTGGCTTCAAAAGTTTATATCAAAATCAAATGAGTCTAAGAAAAGTTTAGTAACGAGATGGGGTGATAACATATATAGTGGTACCAGTAATTCAACTGAAATGCCAGTAAATACTTCCCGTACGGATACTTTGTCATTAATTAAAAATAATACGTTGACCCATTCGTCACACAAAGAAAATCAAAAGTCCTTGGTGAATTCTTCTAAACAATATATTCAAGCTTGGATGATTCCTCAAATAATACTAGATAGGTTAACAAGAACTAAAATATACAGGAATGTAAAAAATGACAAATATTACATAAATAATAAGAATAAGATAGATTCAATTACATACTTAAACGAAAAAACAAAAGTATTATTACGTGACAATAATAACTGTTGGAAAGAAAATTTTGATTCAAGTTCCGAATATGTAATGTTAAATATTTCCTTGGGATATCTTAATGAATTCGGTTATCAAAGTAATGTACAATATCAAAGTGATGAAGAATTATATCAAGTAATTGATTATGAAACACCTTTGTCAAGTGCAATAATCCTAAGGAAAAAAATTCTTAATCATAATGTTGGCAAAGGAAACCTTGCTTCAAATCATATGACAAATATAAATCGTATAAAAAACGTTACGAATTACAGAAAAAAATGTAAAGAAATTATTAGAAAGAAAAAACGAAAGTGTAATGGTGAGATATATCAGTACGACGACATAAAAGTTAATAGAAAATGTGACTCCAGCGGAGTTGGAATAATCCCGGGAAGTGATGTCAAGAGCGTACGAAATCTAGTGTGAGTAAGAGTTTATAGAAAATAATAACATTGTTAAAAAAGAAAACATTAACAATCGTAACTAATAACTACTAGTGCCCAAAAGAAATCAGCATATTTAACTATTTTTAGCAGAATTCAAAAATGGAGTAGGCTATATATTACGTTCTTGGGTATATGTTACTCCTTATCTTCATTAGCTTTACCGTTACAGCCTATCAAAAGTCCATTAGTGAACATAAAACTTCCTGTTAGATTGCCTCTTATGGGGGGGGGGGATTAGCTATAGTTGCCACGCTTTGCAAGTGGGCTGGTAACCACAGTTTTATGGTTGGAACGAAGTTTTTTTACGTGGCTTACAATATAGCGAACTGACAAAAGTCGTTACGTAAGGGTGTTGTGACACCAGTCACCGACCATTGATCAATGGTGGAATGGATTGGTCGACATCGATCGATAGTTTCTACCACACCAGTCGATCGATAGTAGAATGAATAAGTCGACGTCGATTGAGCTGCTTGATTATTCGACAACCCGCCCTGCTCCACCGACCGCCATTTAAAATGTCGTCTAGACGAAATAAGCTATCTTTGGCCTTAAAAAACTGTAGTTACGCTTCCTCTTCTGAATACATTTTAAAAGATACTGATGATGAGCCCCTAATCATATTAATTAATTGTCGATCGATTATTGAACAACGGTTTTACGACCAGTATCCGTCGATCAGCTAAAGCTACCACACCAATCGCTCGACGATCGATCGATTGGTGTGATAACACCCTAAGCATTATGCCCCCTCCAGGCGACCTTTTGGTCTCGTTCTCTTTCTCTCTGTCACTTTCTATTGTGTGTTATACTCACACGAATACGACTATCAAGATTAGTATACTTATTTTATTTTATTTAAATTAATTAATAAAAAAGATAATCATCAATTAACGTAAGGAGCTTCGTTCCTGACGGGGGTTTCCCGACCGCACAAGTTTTTTTAACTGTTATCGGGGGCGATGCTGTTGCCAATCTCCTGCTTTATTTTCCGCTGTCGCCTCTTATGACACGGAGTGGACTTTTTTAATCACATATAAGTTTGGCGGATAAATTTCTATCCTTAAGGTGGAAAAAACAGGGGATGAAGTTTTTAATTTAACTAGACGATATTCAACATTGTGTTTACTCTTAGTCCATTGAAAGGGGTCTAAAAGTATATTTGTAATAAAGAATAAAAGCCGACTCAAAGGACGAAAGACAAGAAGTCGGTAGGTAAAATACAATGTGTAGCCCCGACTATTGAAACTATTATGTGGAAATCATTATCTTATAACATAAGATTTTAGTTTAGAAGTTTCTCGCCTCGAATAATTATATGGCTATAAACGATATGAAATAAAGGCTATCTATTCACAGAATAACTGACAAATTAGGCTGCTAGCTGCTGCTGCTGCTAGCTGCTAGCTTTATCTACATATAGAAAGTCATAAAGTAAGACTTATAATTGACAATTGAAACGTTGATTCTACACTAGTTAATTTTGAAAACGATGGGCACCCTAAATTAGCCTTCCTTATTAAAATTTCCTAGCTTCCAGTGTCATCATTAACAGTACAAGACATACAATGACACAAGTACGCGAGCAATTTAGCAAAACTTTTTTGAGTTAATTTCATTTTATGTGGAAATGCCTCAGCGTATCTTTAATGGTTATGGCACAAAAAGCACCAACTGGCAGCAACTATAAGAATCTAATCAGCACCCAGGAAAACGTACAAACAATTTGTTAAAAAATATAACAGTGGTACGCAAGTGTAAGAGAAATTAAAATAAATTGACACAAAACCAAGTTATCTAAACCGATTTCTAGCATTTTTCTTACATGAGGTTTTATAAAATATATTTTGTAAAATTTTCATGGTATAAAGGTTGATGAATCATAAAGATATTTACACAAGTGACACACACATTAATATCAATTACGTTTTGAATAAAACTATTTATATAGATTTTATGGCGTTTAATTAACTTATTTTTAATTCTCAAAGTTTCGGCTGCTTTACAGCACCCATGGTCACGGGGGGACAGATGAAGTTAGAACGAGCTTACAGTATCTTGAAGTCTGCGTAGATTGGACTAAAACTTAATATTCAAAAACTGATGGCAGCCGGGCTAACTATGACATTGGGACGTCAAACATATCAGTCCCTCTCGTGATCATGGGTGCTGTAAAGCAACCGAAACGTCGGGAATGAAAAATAAGTTAATTAAACGCGATAAAATACGTATAAATTGGTTTAATTCAATGTATAGTGTTCGTGTATATTTAAGAAATCTAAATATATTTTTTATAACGGAGTGCACAATATTAAACAAATATGGATAATATTTGTACTCCGTTATAAAATACACTTGACTTGCACTTTGATAATTTTGATTGGAATACGAATAAAAATTATCGTTTATTCTAATTCAGATATTATCGCATGGAATAATCGGAACGTGTATTAGCGATGAAAATATTTTTGTCGTATTTTAAGCGCTACCGCAACCAACTATTTTTATAATCTCTAAATGTAATTCTATTATATAACAAGGACCTTGCATACTTTTGAATTCAGAGCATACTTTATACGAATATTCAAATCTTAAAAATACATATTATATAACATTTTTTTTAAAATTTTCTTTTATAATAAAAGAACGGCAAGCGAGCTATTAGCCCACCTGATGCAAAACCTACTGCAGCCCTAGGCACCTGCATCCCAACTGCAAACAATGTCACCCGTGACGAACCCAAGTTGTAATGCCTCATAACTATGTCTTCGTAGTGTTAAACCCTCGAAACGAAGCACAGAAGCGAGTGATTACCTGTATACCGTTGGAAATAGAGGGTGGTGACAAGAGAGGAAAATCTCGGACGGACACTAAGTATAAAAGCCGCCTAACCTACTACGGAGAACCTACCTACTATCTCAGCTTACATACATAGCTTACTTCTCCAAATAACAAATTCTAATTTCAGGCTGATGATAGAGACGATTCGCAAACCAATCATTTTGTCCAGAGTGGTGGGTATAGGCAAACCGTTCAAGCTATGTATGGCAGTTGGCGCTTTCTTGAAATGTATCCAGCAGTTGATAACGATAATTTCTTCAAGAAAAATATATTATTAATAGTTGTACGTTTTTGTTATAAGATGGTAGCGTTGGAAAGCGTTTTAGGACAGGAAACAGTCCATTGCAGTCTCAACTCGTATTGAGTCCTCAATTTTAATTCACATTTTTTCCAGAAATTCACAATATCATGATTCCTTTCGATTTCCTCCTAAAATGTTTACTATTATCATAGAACACGTGTTACACAGCACTTGAAGTTGCAATTGAATACTACATTGGTGCCGATGTATCAAGGCGAGTGCTTATCCCCCGAGCTACTTTAGTGTTTTATATTAAAACTTTTTTAACTAATAACGCAATTTTAGGTATTTTGAACGCCCAAAGATCGCAACGGATGACGAGTCAGAAGAAACAATATATCTCGTACCAGAGCACTACAAAATTACAGAAATATATCTACGTGACTACTGTCACAGCTGGATTCCACTTGAAGTAGAACTGGATTCATGGTGTATTAGCGATTCCAATATACAAAAGAGTTTAGATAATTCCTTACTTAACAATTCTAAAACAATACCGAATAGATCCGATTTTCGATCCATAATAATTTCTTCCTGCGAAACATCGATCAAAGATCTAGAGAAATCCGAAGAGAAAGAAAATACCACTATTGATATACGTGTTCAACCGAAAGACTCAGTTGAGGTCTTTAAAAAAAGAAAATTATATCACAACGGTAACAAAACTAAATGGAAATTTGATGACCCGTTTCCTAGTTCGGTATCGAATTCAACAAACCCGCTGATTTCTAATACACCGGAAGATAAACAAAACAAATCTAACAAGAAACGTGTTTTTATATCTAATGATATACCTCAAATACATTCAAATGAGTTTAAAAGTAGTAACGCATATGAAGAAGAATCTTTGAAAAATTCTATTATTTTATCCCCAACAAAATCAGAAAATTTACAATCAATTCGTAGGGAACCTTATGAAAGGATAAATGAATTACCATTATTTTCATCAACTGATGCCGACTGCAAGTTAAATACTAATCACAACTTATCAAATTTAGACACTGAGAACAAAAATTCAACGTCGACTCCCCTAACTTTATTGATAAAATCAAATCAAATCTCACCAAAAAATACAGAGACTCTAAAATATTCAGATTTAGAAATTAAATCACCACAAAGAGTTTGTTCTCCTCAGTGCTCTAAATATTCAGTTACTATACTGAAAAGTAAAGCAGATTTTAACGTTGCACCTCCCGAAATAATTAATGATACGTGCACAAAATCGGAAAGTCATTCTTTCGAGTCTTCAAAACATAGTACCATAAAGAGTTTGTTTCAAAAAATGCGTCCAAAACAACACGCTAATATAAAAAGTTCTGAAGAATCTTTGAAAACAGTCAAGTCAGCCGTTAAAAAAATTATGATTACAACTGACATACAAGAAATCTCTTCTTCATTCGAAACATCCATTCTTAGAGAAGATGTAACCGTTTCAGTACCAAAAGTAAATAGCCCAAAAATAAGCAAAAGTAAAACTAAAACGCCTGGTGTGTACTTTAAAAAGCAGCCATTAAAAAGGAAAGAATCTACGGCATGTTCATGCACTAAAAAGGACGATGAGAATAAATATGTCACACGTGATTATAATGATAACAAGAGAAAATCGCAACTAGAAAGTAGTGCAAATATCAACGTAAATACTCAAGAAAAAGAAAGTGAACGTTTAAAAGAAAAAGAACATAAAGAAACCAATACATCTAATTTAAAAGACAGTAAAAACTCCAAAATTTGCCTAATATCAACAACAAATTCATTAAAAAATACATGTAATATCATTGGAAGCAGTACGGACCTAATAGAAATAAATTTTTCAGTAAAATGCAAAAAGGGTGGTGATACGACTATGTCTGTTAATGTAAATGACATTCGTGATTCTGATATAAAAGATCAAAACGGAAAGGCGCACGAAAATAATATAAAGTGTAACAATTCTGAACACGCAAGTCAGTACGTTAGTGATAAAAACGATATGAATGATATAAATATTAGAATTTTAATTACGAATGGCAAACAACAGCATGATTCTAAGAAAAATAACTTGAACAGAGATGAATTTCCTAAAATAATATCAGACAATTTTCTTCCATCCACCTTAATTTTCAATGAATCAAAAAAACATAATTCTGACACGGATCATAGTTTAACCGACAATTTTATATCATTGATTGAAAAAAATTGCCACAATAAACCTACAGACGAAACAAATGAGGTGGAATCAGCCAGAATCTTGGAAGAAAACCTAAGGAAAATTGAAATAATTCGTTCATACAGTTCAAAAGAATTTTTTGAAAATTCAATTCAGCAAAGGCTTAAAAAAAAGGAGTCTAATTTGGATAATTCCAACTTCACTAATATTATAACAGGACCGATTGTGCAAAATACTTCCAAAAACACAACTATTTCAAATCATAAAGAGCATAAAATGAACGTATTACAAAAAATCTTCGTTAATGCTAAAGATATTAAGAAAAACAAGAAGAAACTAAGGAACGCACGAAAAATTTTGCAAGCAATACTAATTAATTCTGACCGTAGCAACAAAAAAGAAATCAAAAAATGTACTTACAATTTATCAAACCAATTAAATAATACCAGATTACAATCAAATTTTACTGCGGACATCAACCAGTCACATATTTTTCGTCACTTTGGTAGTGTCTTACGGATAAACGAACCAAGTATGATAAATATTAATAATTATGTGTATCCTACTGCGAAAATTCCAAATAAAAGTAATAAATCCAAAAGAAGAACGTTAATATTAAATAGTCCTGACAGAAATGAAAAATGCTTTTGCAAAATACTCGCTGCAAGGTTAGGACTGATGGATGTTAGAACATGTGAATGTCAGTCTCTCAAAACAAAACTAAATAATGTTAGTAACAGAACTCAACCTATGACTTTGCCGAATATGGAAATTTCTGATTATAATGCCATAAATCAAAATTTTATATCTTTACACAATAACATAAAGAAAAATAGCGAAGAAAATCATTGGAAAGATTGTACTTTGAAACCAAAATATCCGGATGTGAAAGAATTACTGACAGAAGAACAAATATCGCGACTAAAAAATACTATAAAAAAGGTATACTCTAATTATTCGCAAAACATTTGTTTGGATGATTATAAAATTAAAAATTTAAATAAAAATGCAATCGCCAGTTTATACAATGAAAACAAAATAATTTTAACGAACTGTAATTCAGCAGAAGAAAAATGCACAAATTTCCATGAATATAGAGAAAAACAGACACATTGTAAGTACTCAAAAAGCAAGCGAGATATTTTTCAATTGCCAGAAATCAAAGAAGCTGTTTTGGATATGTACGCCTTAAAAGGTACTACGGATAATTCCGATTTATTAGCCGTAATGCCCAAATTTGTATGTGATGTTGAAAAATTTTTTGGTTAAATAGGTCCCGATAGTCTTAACTCCTTAATAGATAGTGTTGTCTAGAACTTATCGGTCTCAAAATTAATGAGATAGTTTGGACTGATATTTGTTTGTATTTATGACTTTCTTTGTACATTATTGTCGTTTAAGGCAATTTCAATATAATAAAACTTAAAATCGTAGGTAATTAACATTTTGACTTATGTAATTAAATACTTTGTTTATTATGTGTAAAATACTGTTAACATAAATGTGCTGTCAATAAATTAACTAGTTTACTCTGAATTTAAATTTATTTGTAAAAATTCTCCTGATACTTGATACATTTCTATAGGTCAACCTGTAGAAAACCCACTACATACTATTCATTAGCCTATAAAAGACAGGAGCCCTGATCGACAGGTTTGCCTTAATCGTTATGCTTGGCAGGCAGTTTACCAGCGCCGTACGTCTCGCCACTTTGAAGCTGCTTATCATCGCCGGCCTGGTTAATTATATTTAATATTAATAATTATTATTATTATACTTATTGTTATTTATTATTTTATACTAGAGACCCCAGTGGCGAAGCTAGGGCTCCCAACTAGGACAAGCCCAAGATATAGTTTTGTTTTTTTAGCAGTTTTAAAAATACATCAATCTTGATCTGTCTCCACTCTTCAGTTTCATAATCAGTTCTGTCGAGGACGTGTTTAACAAAGCACACAGAAGGCATACTACTGCTAGATAGATTGCATGACATTTCAGCAATTGCATACTTTCGGTGGCTCTGAAAAAAGCCGTTAGGGTTTGTTTGAGCGAAAAAAAAAAGATATTTACATACAATACATGAACAAAAGAAAAGCATGAACAAAGTACAAACAATGTACAAAATTAAAAAAAAACAAATTATTTATATTTGGTTGCGCGGAAAACCATTCGTATTTATTTATATTTGACGGTAGGCTTGCCCAATCGTTTATCCCTTTCCAAACGATATCTGGTTGCGCGGAAAACCATTCGTATTTATTTTATTTGACGGTAGGCTGCCAAATCGGTTATCCCTTTCCAAAACGATATCATTCATACGCTCCTATCGACACATCGGGGTGGTGGGGTGGGAGGGGAAAGAAGATGATTCTAGAACATCACGTAATCATCGGAACCGAGGATATATAAGGGCACGCGCGACCGACGCGCGCTCTTCTTCCCGCCGCGCTCGCCGTTGTAACCACACCGCCTAGGATAATAGTGTCCTAAAGAGCTCTCTTCCCGCCGCGCTCGTTGTTGGAAACACATCACTAGTAGAAACCGCTTTAGCCTGGAAGCAGTCGAGCTCCAGGAAACCCGCCTCACCTCGTGTGAGATATAGTCGCGCACCGCCTCTCTCCGGAGTGTTCCAGAAGTCGCAGTTATAGTGCTCGACCGCATAGAACATCGATCTCGAAGAAACATCCCGGTGAGTCAACATTTTCCTAATAGTATTTTCCTGCTTGATATAGTTGTTTTAACCCGCTCCAATTTTATGTTTTCCTAATCAAGCAGGATTCCTTTCATCGATTTGGCAAATAACAGTTCGTTTTTTAGGGAAGAGCGAGTGCATTATACCGCATATAAAAGTGTAGAAGCATTAGTAGATACAGTCCGCTTAGATTAATATCTCGCGTAATAGGTTTAAGGTTCGACCGGGAAACTAGACTTCGGCAGCCTTAAACACGTGGCTCCACCATTTTATGGTCACTTCGGCAGGATTTGGACTGTTGTTTAGTGGTACTCCAACCATTTTCTGGTCGAATTATTAAATTAATTATTTAGATAATGCACTCTAATCTATGGAATAGACTTAAATAGTGTTCGTTTAAATTTAAATTTTGATTAGGTACTCGCAAACAGAATTATTTATTTTATAGCGCTCGTATTTGGTTAAATTTAAAGCTTATTAAATAATTGAAACAGTGTAATAGCAACCGTGTGGTACGCTTACCCGATAATTTGATAAAAATATTAAGTTACCGCAACGAGCAACGCGTCGCCTCGACTGTAGCAGGTGTCCGATTTAATTACGTAAAACGGCATACCGAGTGTCCATCGTCCATCGTTGTGCGTTGTGAGATTAATTGTGATTAATAACTTTGTTATAATAATTTAAAATGGCAGTTAGTGAAAGTGAATTTAAAATTAAAACGCTTTATGCCAAGAGGGACGTACTTTTTCACGTATACAAAACATTAGCGATCATATAAAGAACATTAATGTAGAAGCGGTGCGGGAAACTTTTCTGAATGAAATTGAAACGGTGGATTCTTTGCGGACGGATTACGAAAGAATATTAGACCAAATTAATCATTTGGAATTACAAATCGACCCGAAATACATAGTGAACTACCAACCGCTGCTGGCATTCGAAGATATGTTGTGTCGCGTGAAAAGAACGGCAAAACTCCTACAATCTCAAAGCGAAGCAAAGCCGGAATTGCAGGTACGTCCTCGTGACTCAATTAGGTTGCCGCCAATAGATATTCCGGTATTCAATGGTGATATTAAGACATGGCCCTTCTTCTTCAGTAATTTTCAAAACAATATACACAATAACCCATCGTTATCGGACGCTGAAAAATTATATTACTTAATTAGTAAACTTAGTGGCAGGGCACAGTCGATCTGCTCTGGATTTACACCTACAGCAAACAATTACTTATTAATATTCGAAACTCTTAAAACTAAATATGAAGATAGGAGAATGTTAGCTTCCGAATATTTGAACCAGATATTCGATCTTAAACCTATATCATCCGCGAACATCAACGGCTTAGAGCAGTTTCTAGATAAATTTGTGGCATCGGTGGCTGCACTTAAGAATTTGAAATTTAATGACCTTATGGACGTGGTGTTTCTCCATATTGCACTAAAGAAATTAGACCCCGACACCGTGCGTGCGTTTGAAATGGAGCATCGTAGCTCGGAGATGCCTTCCTTTCATTCATTAGCATCGTTCGTGCGAGATCAAATAAAGGTGATGCAGCGCTCTCCGAACGTTAAACAAGAGATTAAAAGGTGCGTCGACCGTAGACAGACTCAACCATCTAAAATAGCAGGGTCGTTAACGTACGTAACCGCTACGTCAACATCACTTCAGCATACTTGTATCGTATGTAAAGATAAACACGGTAATTTATATAATTGTGCGACTTTTCGTAAATATTCACCAAGCGAACGTTATAAATTAGTAAAGACAAACAACCTATGTTTGAACTGCTTAAGCGATAAGCATTTAGTTGCAAAATGCAATTCGAGTTCCGTATGTAGCAAGTGCGCCAGGAAACATCACACGCTATTACATTTTGAAAATAGCAACATAGCGGCGTCAAGTAAAGCGGATAAGGAATTCACCCTACTAAGGTCAACGATTCTAGCGGTCGACCTGGTGATGTCGCTCTGTGCTCATAGGCAAATATGGGAGCACAACCTCCTTTAACCGTGTTACTGGGTACGGCGCGTATTTTGGTTAGGGATTCGCGTGGAAACGAACAAAGCGTCCGTGCACTGCTGGACAGCGGAGCCCAAAATAGCTTTATAACACGACAATGTTGTCAGCGCTTAGGCTTAGTAATAAATAGGTCACTTTCATGTCCTGTAGTTAAAGGCATCGGAGGTACTAGTAAAGCTACCCAGGGATATATTAATTTAAAATTTTATTCTCGGATAGATCGTAATGTTAACTTTGATATAAATGCACTAGTAGTAGATAGGGTCACTGAACGGTTGCCAACCGTTTCGGTTGACACCTCGTCAATGATTGAGTTTAAAAATTTGACTCTAGCGGACGACACTTACGCCGTTCCTGGAAACATAGACATGCTCATTGGAGCATCGCTTTTCCCTCATCTTTTGTTAAACAATAAGGTCAGGGGCAACTCCTCGCATACCGCGCCTTACGCACCAGAAACCGTATTGGGCTATGTTATCATTGGCTCCGCCCCCATCATAGATAGTATTTCGGCAACCTCTTATTGTGGTATGGCTGTCGAACCGCTCGAGTCGTTAGTCCGCAAATTTTGGGAGATGGAGGAGGTGAACGTCCCACCCATAGCTAGCTCAGATGACAGGTTATGCGAGGAAATTTACGTCCGCACGACCGTTCGTGATCGCGACGGTAGATATAGTGTAGCGCTGCCCTTTAAAGGAGATGTTTTATCTCTCGGCGATTCGCGTCAAATGGCGGAAAAACGTTTCTACAGCTTGGAGCGTAGGATGCTCGCTTCACCCTAGTTAAAGGAAGCTTATGACGGCGTCATTAACGAATATATAAGAGAAGGTTACATATCACTCGTGGCTTCGAAATTAGATAACTACGAAGACACACCGTCGTATTTCATACCACACCACGGGGTCATTAGGGAGGACAAACTTACATCTAAGTTACGTGTAGTGCTCGACGCTAGTGCTAAAACTAGCACTCACCTGTCGCTTAACGATATCTTCTATAGTGGGCAAAATTTACAGGGCAGTTTATTTAATATAATAGCCAATTTTCGTTTGTTTAGTATAGCACTATCCGCCGATATTCGCCAAATGTTTCTTTGTATAGGGGTCCGTGAATGCGACCGTAGATTCCAACGCATTTTATATCGTTTCAACCCAAAGGAACCTCTAATGGTGTTTGAATTTAACCGCGTTTGTTTTGGTTTAAAGTCGAGCCCATTTCATGCGTTACGCACGGTGAAACAGCTCGCCCACGATTTAGGTCCCTCTTACCCTAAAGCTAAGAGGGCAATTGAGAGCGGATTATATATGGATGATTTTGTGTACTCGGTCGATAGCGTGGAGGAGGCCACCCTAACCACCGCCGAGGTTATAAAACTCATGAAATCGGGTCAATTCGATCTTGTGAAGTGGACTAGTAATTCGCGTCCGGTTTTAGATACCATCCCACTATCACACCGTCTTTCGGCGATAAAGGAATTCGACGATTCCGATATACACAAGGTGCTCGGTCTGTGTTGGTCACTAGAGTCCGACGTGTTTAGCCTTAAGGTAAA